GACCACGATGAGTCACGCGTTATTTCAGACAGTTTGAAAACACTGCTGTGAGAAATCACTAATTACAGTCAACAACCATCAACAGCAGAGTAATTTCCACACAATGAGGGACAGCAGGAACAAAAGGAAGCCTGTGAATTCTAAAGCAGCGCTGAATTTGATGTGATGGGCCCAGAGGAAAACTAAAACCAACACGGCCTTCATGCTGCCTGACAGCTCTCGCCGTGTTCCCATTGTTGACTTGTCTGCTAAAGTTTCTCTCTTTACTTGTTCAAGACGGTTTGTGCAGCGCTACACACAGAGGGGTTTGACCCTCAGTTTAAATACTATTCAACAATCACAAAAGAAGCAATCTACTCTGAGTTTTAGAATTTTAGAATTAGATAAAGTGCGTCTTCAGAAACACAATAACTCCGTAGAGATTTTCCATTAAATAAAAAACTTCAAAGACTAGCATCTCTTTACAGATTATATGTGTTGCTTGTTATATCAGTTTTAGATTAAAATAATCTGAGAAATGACAAGAGTTATGGTCAATTAAGCACAACATCTTTAAAACTAGGTGAGTTAAAGCCATTTTGGTGTATTCTGCAGTCAGTTAAATGTGGCACCCATTTTCAATTAAGTTTGCTCCAACTTATTTAGTTAGATGGTTTAAAAAAAATACAAATAAAACTTAGCTGCAAGAGAAAAGCACAGATTTTCTGCATATAAAAGAGGTCAAAAGGCCAATGTCTTGTCCGTTGAATCAAACAAACATGTTTCAATGAAACTTCAAGATTAAAAAGAAAACATACAGGAACAGATTAAACGGACTCAAAATTGATAAAAGGTTTTAAACCTCAACTCTCTTGTAAACAAGTAGATTACTCCATCCAAGGGGCCCCACATGCAGGACTCCAGAGATGCTATCAAGCAGATGTGCCGACTTAACAAAATCTGAAACTGTTTACAAAAAGTAAAAAGGAATAAGTGAGAAATTATCGATGCAAACAAACTCATGCCACACCCTGTTGAAACTCCGCCCCCTTTCAAACAAGCTCAGGTCGACACCTGTGCGTCGAAATGCAGACGTTTAAATACAACATCCTGCAGAGTTGAAGCCAGAAGTGGAGGTTATAATCTATTTTTAGACACGTGGCAGCGCAGACATGAATGAATCTGAGTCAACAGAGTGGTTGCTGTGCCGTTTATCCTAGCTGCTGCAGGAAAGCTGCATTTTTACATATTTTCTTCACTGAACCCTGAAAAATGTCTAATAAAAGCCGTAGCTAGAACACGTTGTCTTTAGTAATGACTTTAAAACATTTGATTTGTGTATAGATTTGAAGTGATAAGCACAATGCTAACGGCGTTAGCTTTTCTATGGCATTTTCAATGTTAAATTAGCGTTTATGCTAGTTGTTGGGCATCGGTCTGTGATTAAAGGTACTCACTGCAAAATATGAGATCTAACAGACAAAAAATGTTATCCTGAGCTACTACAGTATATCACAAGGTGCAGTTTTGAAAACATTACTCCAGTGGTCATCCAGATATACTGACCACAGTTCTGAAATGCGGGTCCACACTCCGTGTAAACAAAGCACTCGGATGAATCGGATGAAAACCACGTGTAAGCTTGAGTCACATGACTGAGCTGCATTAGGCTGTAGTCTGTGCACATAAACAGCCGTCTTGTAAGTTTGACCCATCTTCGGCTGTTTTTGTAGGTAAATAAGCACACGTGGTAATGGTAACAAATTTAGTCTAAAGTTATGATTTTATGAGAAGATATATTATTGTGCACAAAAATATGTAAATTATCGTTTTATTTAGGCAAAATAAGCCATGGTCACAAATTTACAAATTGAACAGTTTCACAGTCATAAACATGGTGTTTATTCACAAAGCTGATAATCGCTGATGGATATTCACTTAATGATCACAGCGACCTGAATCATCATCAAATCCTGAGATGCACAAAGATTTGTACCCCCAGTTAAAGAGGAGGCGAGCTCTGCTGTTCAGTTTGTTTACTGTGTTTTGCCATGTTCTCTTTGGCAACCCTTTACAGCTGCGTATAAAAATAGACCAGATGTTTTTTTTTTTTATCTTACTTGCAGTAAATGAGCACTCTGGAGGATTTTTCATGTGATCACATCGTCAGTGCTGCTGTGCACAATAAATAACAATAAGCATGAGTATGATTTATTAGCGGTAGAGCTTTTTGTAAAGCAGTGATTTATGCTTTCTGGACTTCTGGGCCCTCACCTGACAAAGTATAAAAATGTTGTTATTCTGTGTCGAGCAAGGAGTGGCTGTGCAGTGACAGGAGGGGAATGCCATTTATTTTAAGAATTC